TAAAAAAAAGAGAAAAGAAAGACTGAAGACAGAAAAAGAGGGAAGACAAAATAACCCATTGAAATCAAAAAGGAAATGCATGAGTGAGATTTCTATCAGGAAAACCAGTAGGAGGCAATGGGGTAGGCGTGGGGAGAATAAAAACAAAAGAGCAGAGTGTGCAGGGTGGTGAAGGAAAGAAACAACACAAAAGTCCCTTGGAGGGGCAAATGAGGGGGAGGGAGTGGGCAGAAAATATGGTTGAAAGGAGCTGAAAAGCGGGAAGCACTGAGAGGAATCTCAGCTGGAATCCCTGCATCCTTAGTCTCTCTCCCAGTCTCTGTGGAATTGTTAACTCTTCCTCCCCGAGTCTCTTTTCAACTCTCTAAATGTCCAAATTCCAGTTTTTCATAAAGGAAAGCAGCATGCTGTATAGATGAGAGAAGACATCCAAAGGAAGAAGATGCAAGCTGAAAAAAATTCAAGCCTCCCAAGGCGCTTTCAGAACATACCGCACATCTCATGTGGCACAGCCCCCAGCCTGCTTTAAAAGAGCCCATAGAAGAGAAATCAGTTGCTGCTTGTTGTGTCTGAGAGAATAACTAATCTCAGGACTCTTGTTCAGGTGTCCTCTTGATGGTGGCGGCCCACACTCCTGACCAGAGCCAGTGAAGAAGAGGGCAGAGCAGAGGGGAGAGGGGCTCAGGAGAAAGGCTGCAGGAAGCAAACGAAGTGTCAACTCAAGAGCCACAAACAACATCAGCTGTGCACCTGGAAAAGAGCCTGTGAATCCTTCAGAACTGCTATTACTAACGTCATCATTACAGTCAAGTCTTTGAACAATTTTTTTTATGTCATATGAAACCATGAGACAGACATAAACCAAATTGTGAAAAATAAGTAAATGAACAACAAAGGCTTTAAAAGATTTGCAATATTCAACAACCAGGAGGAATGTCTTTCTTGATCTTTGGCATAATGTACAACTTTTATTTATTTATTTATTTTCATTTACATGACTTCAAACTGATCAGACTTACCTACTGCAAATCTGATGCTAATTTAAAAATACAATGCCATAGTCTGGTATACATACCTAAATCCCAGACTTACTGAGGCTTCTTGGGAAGGCTGTTTTCTTTGTCAGGTCAGGGTATTCCAGAGTTATCATCATTACTAAGTTAGCAGAGACTATTTCAATCAACAGAGATCACCTTAAGAAGGTGATTACAGAATTGAAAAGGTATTGACAAGTTTCTGTGTACTTGTGTCTGACTTCAAGAACACTACAATTTAAAGGAGGTTTCTATCATCAAAAAGAGAGGAGTGGTTTTGCTATGATGGTTTTCAATAAAATGCAAAGGTTAATATAAACTAAATTGGCAACTAAAGATATTAAAAAACAAACAAAACAACAGTTGAGCTGAAGTATTTAGCTCTTGTGGAATTAGGTGAATTAGGTTATATCAAATGATTTTACATCCATATTTCTGAATAAATAAAAAAGTTAAGATAGACATGGAGAATGAAATTGACAATGTCTATCAAGGTTGACAACTAATTTCAATAAGAATCAATTGCATTTGAGTCTCCATATTCAGCTATAGTAGTAAAGTGTTAAAAATTGCCATCCATCAAAAATGCAGTGACCCTTGGACTGAACATCATAATAACATTTTATTTGCAAACAAAAGAGATGGATTGTGCTCTCCCATCTCTACAGTCTTTCTCCCTGTGCGATTAGAGATCCTGGTGAGGCAGGAAGGGTATAGGATGCCTTCTGAGACCTCGAATTATTTGCCTAGAAGTGAAGTTAGGATGATTACTGTGAATATTGTGTTTCTTCTAGTGAGCATAAATATTAAGCTGATTAATTTATAACATCTAACCAAAGCATTGGAAGACTAAGCACTCCCACCCCTCAAAAAAAGACTGAATTCCTTTGTGTCCTTCCACTTGGGTGGAGTGGTATTGTGTGACTCAGTCTTTGCAAAAGTCACTGCGGGTTGATGAGGAACAGATTTGTGTTGGAAGGTTAGGTTTTGATCAAAGCCCTCAGAGACTAACGTGCCGGATGAATTGATGCCAGGCAAAGTAGGTGTGCACTGATCTACATTTGGGGTTAGAAACTCCAAGTCCTGTGAGCTTGGATGAACGGTGCCTTCAAAGGCCCTATTTTTGGAGGCAGGGGAAAGAGAAGAAATAGAGGAAGTGAAAAGCTACTGTGTCAGGGTGATATCATCCCAGGACTCATCATTCATGTCCCTGGGACGGCTCAGATGAGGAGCCCTGCTGTTTTCATTTTTAGTATAATCATATTTCTAATATTGCATGGGCTATACTTATGCTAAAACCTTCATTATTGTTACCATTTTTTTTTTTCTTCAAGAAACAGGGTCTGGTTCAGCTGCCCAGGCTGGAGTGCAGTGGTGCAATTCTAGCTCACTCAGCCTTCACCTTCTGGGCTCAAGCAATCCTTCTGCCTCAGCCTCAAGTAGCTGCGACTATGGGCCCACCATGCCTGGCCATCTTGTATTTTTATTTATGAAACCTGGGTTCTTAGGACTCAGAACCAAAGTCAAATAGAAAAATGAAGCTCTAAGGGATTCCAGGTGAGTCAGAAGTTCAGAACATTGCTCACTTTAAACTGCAGAGACTAGGACATAAGAGAGTGTGGTAGATTAAATATCTTCATGAATTATTCACAGCTCTGGCCATCAAACAGTGGAATCTGTTTCCCAACCTTTTAAGTCTGGGCTGGCCCTGTGACTTGTTTTAGCCAACAGTATACAGTAGAGAGCAACCAGAACTTCCCAACTTAGCTTCAGGACATCTGGCAGCTTCCGCTCTCACCCCTGGGAACCCCAGCACTACCATGCTGTGAAGAATCTTGGGAAAAAAAGACCAGGTGTTGAGAAAGGCTTAGGTGTCCTGGCCTTCCACAACCATCCCAGCTGAAAGCCCTAAACATGTGAGAGTCCATCTTCAATAAAGCCTCATCCAAAAAAGGAGCTGACTGCAGCCTCCTAAATGAGACCAAGTGAGACAGTGGATACAGAGAGGATCCTAGGACTAGGGGAGGAAATACTGCTTCTTGAGGAAAGATGAGAAGATGGGTGGGGGGATGTGGAGAGAGAGATTCCTGGATTGTGTTGTCACTCAAATAGATGGCCAGTGTCTCACCTAACTCCAGAGAAAGGGTAGGTGGGCACCAAATGTCTAAAGGTATCCAAGCAAGCATTCAATCTCTTGGGTAAAGGGTATACTAAAGAGAGTAGATTGGAAGTGATCAACAAGACAGCAACTAGGAGAACTTTAAACCTGAGCTAAAGAAAAATAAAGTGACAGTATACATCTAACCCTCACCTGAGCTTTGTGCAGTAGAAATCCTGAGATATTTTCTTATTCAGGGAAAAAGAATATAGTAGCACTGTGGCTTCACTCTTGCCCAGAAAGAAATACTTTTAACTGCAAGAGATTGAATAGCCAGGGAAATAGGAGATGGAATGATACAAGCCCCAGACTTAGCACCAAAAATACATCCTACCTACCTAGGCTTTCCAGGGCAGACGGGTTTGGGATTATCCAACCCAGCCTACAAGGAGTAAAGAAATTCTGTCATCACGGCCCTTCTGTTTTCCTGGTCTTTCCTTTTTCCAACCCACCCTTTCCACTGTATTTCAGAGCAAGGGTTCAAGCAGAATCTCAACAGTGAGAAGGTGCTGAAGACAAAGCAAGGGGTGTCTAACGTGATTGATAGTTTGGTACCTGCCTTGCAAGGACCTTGTGAAGATCAAATGATGGGATGCGTCTACTATAAACAATTGGCAAATATGTGCTTGACAAATGGTAGCTACGTTATCTATCTGTGGCTTTATCATAGGACTTAAAACAGCTCCACATATCTGTTTTAAATTTAATTATACACATGATCTTATTTTTTCTTTAGCCTGCAATTACTTGAAAACAGTGACTGTATTTTATTTTTGTGTGTGTACCATCTATAACAGGCAGCTCCTGTTAGGCACTACACAAATATTTGTTAAATGAATGAATCAATGAATGGAATAAGATATACTTGCTGAATTGCAAAAAAAAAAAAAAAAAGGGGGAGCAAAAAGGATGTGAATGTTTACGAGTATGCTTACTGTCTACAGGCTGAATTTGGGTGCAAAAGGAGTCAGCCATAGGCTGACTGTCAGGGCTCAAAGAAACTTTTCCAATCTCTCTGTATACCAAGGTCCAGCAGAATTAGACTCTTTCATTCCTTCTCGTTTAAAACAGCCTAGCTAGGCAGTATTTTTTCCACTTTATTCCTGGAAATACTATGAAACATGATAAGTTGAATGTAACCGTTTAGATTTAGTATTCATCAAATATGTTTATGCTTCCAAAGGGTTTTTAGAGGCAGGTGCTATAGTGCATGCTACTTCCTGCAAACGATCTGGCACCAAATTAGAAATCCAGTTAGAAAGCAGTCTGGAAGGTTAGTATGATCTGCCACAGACAACACAATAGTACCAGTCGTTTTCAAAGAGAATAAAGTGTAACCTGGGTGGAAAAGATAAATGAGATCAAACAGAAAAAAAAAAGAGAGAGAAACTAGAAAGATGTAAAAAAATTATCCTCATGAATCTTCACAATGATGAACCACAAATATGGATTAGGCAGGGAATCCCAACCCATTAATTTACAGAAGAGCTCTAGAGAAAATAAAGTGCACAATGCCAGGCTGCATTTATTTTTGTCCCCTATTTTAAAAAAAAGTAATTAGTCTGAAAAATAGCCTGTAAAGAACTTGGTATGAACACTGTTTCTATTAATTGCTTGGTTAGGATGGCCCATATGTGTCAGTGGTCTGCAACCATGACTGCCTCAAATAAGCAGGGGCAGTCGGCTAAAAGTTCGAGAGTATTTTTGCCATTCTGAAGACTGCCTGGATGAAGGGCATCTTAGAAAATGTAAAATGCAATGGATTTCACAGATAAGTGATCCTTGGTAAGTTCACTATGCCTACTCACCGTGGTCAAGGATATATTTCACAATCTCCCCGTTGCCGGTTTTAGCTGCGTAGTGAAGGAGTGAACAGTGGTCTGGTCCCTGAATTAGCAGACTGCCTCCATTTTTATAGCTTTCTATTAGCTGCAAGAGAGACATACAAAAAGAAGCTCAGGCAGAATCTGGAACAAGGATAATAGCTAACTGGTAATAAAATAAGAGTCATGTAGCAAACCACAATGTTTCTAGCCTCAGAGGACATAGAGAAAAGTCAAAAAGATGAAGTCACATTCCTGGACTGTGTCATCACTCACAGTGATGACCAGTGTCTCTTCTAACTCTGGAAAGAGTCTGTAGGTATTGAACAGGCTAGGGAAACTGAATCATGCTGAATTACTTTTTTCATTTATTTTCTGAGCACTGGTCTCTATGGTCTCTGTCTCAAGGGAGTGAGGGGTGGAGTAGAAAACAAAAGCCTCTCTTTGTTGGCTTAGCATTCTCTTGAGCGAAAGAGTAATTATGGCTATAAGCAGGAATACCTTGATGACTGTAGCTAAGCTTCTTGCCCGTGTCCTTCAGTTTTTCTTTAGTCTTATGAAACTATATACCAAATATCAAAGCTGCTTTGTCTCTCCTGTGTAAGATCACTGAATACAAGTATAGACACATACACATGCATGCATGCACGCACACGAACACACGCCTGGCTTCCTTCTTCATCCAGATCTGCAGCCGAGCCTGCAAACCTTGTGTTAATCACCCAACACATACCTAACAGGCTAGAGATGATGTACAGAGTGAGACCCAAAATGATTCAGAAAATGTAATAGTTTCTATGTGAGAGAAGACTGGAAAAAAAACAACAACAGAATTTTGTAGCCTGAGGATAAGGTGGCTAAATGAGGATATGGTCTAAGTTTATAAAATACTGAACATTACAGAAAATGTGAAGGAGTCCCTCATCTCCAAATTACAGTATATCAGGACAAGAGTGCCTACATGAAGCTTCTAATAGGTAATTTTAGGACAAATGAGAATTAAATAACCCAGCAGGTAATAAGCAAAATGAACACATTATCTTTTAAGAAGTTAGATGGCACACATTATAGATAATCAGACATCCCATAAGGTGAAAGAGCATAAATGACACAAATGCAAAGGATAAGTCCTAGTGTTCTATACCATTGTAGGATGACTATAGTTAATAATATATTAAATAGTTTTAGATAGCTAGAAGGAGGATGTTGAACATTCCCAACATAAAGAAGTGATAAATGTGTGAGGTGTTGGATATGCTAATTACCCTGATCTGATCAGTGTACACTATATGTATCTAAACATCACTATGTACTCCATGAATATATATAATCATTTGTCAATTAAAAATATTTTTTTAAAAAAAGAACGTAAATTCAGAGTTCACGTCTTCACTCAAATACATCCATAGAATTGTCATGTGCTAGATGTCAGGAAGATAAATACAATTCAGTCACTGTGCCCAAAGCCCTCACAGCCCATGGGGGAGACAGATAGGTAAAGAGTCACACAGTAATGGACGGGACCATCACAAATGTCTCAGAGAAGCACTAGGGAAGCATGAAGCAGGGGATGGAAAGAGCCATGGAAGACCTCCCAGGGCATGGATCAAAAGCAGTAGCTGAATGAAGGTAAGGAACATACGGGACTTCCATCCCTAAACTGGGGGGCAAGAGGGCAGCAAGAAGTAGCTAGCAACTTTCCACAAAAGTCTAAAAGGGAATCCTGTTCTGTTCAACCACATTGTCTTAAAATGACACTCCCTTTCTTTGTGGGGAGATCGACAAAGGATAACAGCATAGACCCAACCAAACCTGTTCAGGGTCAACTGCCTGGATCCTGCCTTCCAGTGCTGTTTCTAGACACCGTGAACATTCAGTTAGTCCATGGGCATTTTTTGCAGCCCAGTTGTCCAGGAGCTATTTGTGACAGCCTTCACACAAGGGTGGCTCCAGAGACATTCTGTTCGCTAGTTTCTTGCTCTCTTTCTCTCCCTCCCTCTCTTTCTTTCTCTCCCTCTCCCTCTTGTACAAACACATACACATGTACCCAATTTAATACTTTATGTATATTGCACTTTCTACTCAGAAGAAAGAAACAAAAGAAGTTGGAGAAGAGAAAGAGGGCATGAATATTTGAGAAGGAAAATAAAGAAAATATGTAAGAGAGAAAAAGTAAAACTTTAAGCCCTCAGCAAATATTCCATCTCTCAGTAAATAAGGTGTTATTGGCTGGGTGTGGTGGCTTATGCTTGTAATCCCAGTACTTTGGGAGGCTGAGGCAGGCAGATCACGAGGTCAGGAGATCAACACCATCCTGGCTAACACAGTAAAACCCTGTCTCTACTAAAAATACAAAAAATTAGCCAGGCATGGTGGCGGGCACCTGTAGTCCCAGCTACTCGGGAGGCTGAAGCAGGAGAATGGTGTGAACCCAGGAGGCAGAGGTTGCAGCGAGCCGAGACTGCACTACTGCACTCCAGCCTGGGCGACAGAGGAAGACTCCATCTTCAAAAAGAAAAACAAACAAACAAAAAATAATAAGATGTTATTAATTCATGTTTTAGTCATTTAGACAAGAATTAGAGAATGCATTAGGTTGGTGCAAAAATAATTGCAGTTTCTGTCACTGAAATGACAAAAACCGAATTACTTTTGCACCAACCTATAATAAGACAACCAGCTGGATATAGTGATTTCCCACATTGCAAATGATTCTCTATTTAAAAGTACAAAAAAAAGTGTGATAATAAACTCAGGATCCTGGGAAATCAGTTGCCTAATCTGAAAGCATATAGAAAATAAAATGGAAGGGTTTCAAATGTACAGTGCGTTGCCAAATTTTCTGGTGTAGAAACCCACCAGGGGCAGGAATCAATTATATTCATGCCTTTGTTTCCCACAAAACCTAATGGAAGGCCATGCACAGAGTACAGGATGGTATGGACTTAATCCACTGGTAAGAAACAGCACTGAACTCATCAATATACTGCCTGGAGAGCACTCTTCTGAGTAACAATTTCTATTGACACTATGATCTGTGCAGTGGCACAGGCACCATTTTCAGGATTACGTGCCTAAAGGGGGCAGCTGATCAAGATGTTTGCAACATTTTCTCCATTTGTTTTCTTCTAGTAACCTGTTGAAAAATGTAGCATAGGTGTCCTTCAGTTTGTCCAACAGATGTGCCTAAAAAAAAGTTCTGTCTGAGGGTAGGACTTTTCAGTTTTCTCTTAGGGCTATTGGTTCCTCAATCTGCAATGGCACCTTACTCCACAGGCTGAGGAATCAGGCGTAGCCTCTGCCTTCAGGCAGCTGTCATTATTACAGAGCAGATCAGTTCCAGCAGGGGGTTTGCAGGGGCATATGGGAAGTCATGAGCCTGATGCCTGAAAATGATGTGGGACCAAAAATAACTTTAGAATATTCATAGATGATGTTTATATTATATAACAAATATTTGTATTTCCACCATGTTTAGCTATTTAAAAAACACAGATCTACACTATCAGAATATTAATAAAATAGCTAACATTTTAGAGTCCCTTCCATGTAATAGGAACAGTCTTGAGAGCTTTCTATGTATTATTACATTAATTCCTCATGACAATCCAAAGAGAGAGGTAATATTATTCCATTTTACTAATGAAAAAACTAAGGCACAGAGAGAATTAAATAATTACACGAAATCACACAGACAGTGTAAGGCAGAGCCAAGATCCGAACTCAGAAAGTCTGACTTCAGATTTTACATTCACCCTCAGGGCAGTGGTGACTGCTTCCTTCCTTCTGAACAAAACTCACCAGAAAACATAAGCACAAATTAAACTGTTCCAAGCGGATCAGGGTTCTTGTTTGACTAACTATGATCCCCAAAGTATGAAACCATAAAAAGGAAAGATTAATCTCTGACCTGAAGAATGCATTTCTGAGTGTTGTCCAGGTAATTCTTACAGATGCATTCATTTCAATACCTGCCTGAAAGGAAATCTTTAAATTCTTTGAATGTCAGCTTCCAGAGGGCAGGCACACTGTGCACACTGTGCACACTGCAGCCTGGGGACATGCAGTTCATTTTAAGTAACTGAGACAAGTACCCTGGTGCTCTTGAACACCCTCTCTGCTCAGTTCTCAAAAGAACATCTTGCCTCTTCTATTCAGCCAGTGCAAGCACGGGGATGATAAGTGATAGATGGAAACACAGAAATTTGGTGAGGAATGATGTTGTTTTAAAGTTCTTAAAGCATTGCCAAAGATTTGGTAGGAAGATATCTTACCTTCATAAGATCACCAGCTATTACTGCCTGCAAAATTGCTGTGAAAGACAAAAGAGAGATGTCCTATTAGTAGAAGACCCTCTCATTAAAATATTACACAAAGTTGGATCCATATTTGGGATAAGTACTCTACATTTGGGGCAGGAATCAGAGAAGGAAAATATCTTAGTCAAACCGACTGAGGCCCCCTCTTTAGCCCTTCCCACCCAGGTACCCATTCCATGCATCCTTCTAGAGCCCATGTGTGCCCCCTCCAGCCTCGGTACAGTAAATATTTAAAAAATTGGAGTCACACCAATTGGGTTCAAATCTCAACTCTGACACTTTAAGCAGCAGGACACTGGGCAAATCATTTAACCCCTCTGAGCCTCAGTTTCCACATTTGTAAAAGAGCAGGTTTAAACTTAGTAGGGTTCATGAAGTCCTATGAATGTTCCTAACCCAGCCACAGATGCAGAGTAAGTGCCTAATCATGATTGCACTTGCTTCCTTCTTTCTAGTTCCTTCTACTTTGCTCTCTTGTGATTTAAGCAATCACCAGTCTTTTTGTGTGTTTTGTGGTGATAGATAAATACCTATTGCTATGAATATTAGGAGGATTGGAGACAGCAAAGAGGAATCAAGTCTATTTTAACTGTGTTCTTGAGAAAAAAACCGTATGTTTGGCATATAATTTACTGATGATTTTTATGGAAAAAAGCCTAGAGGTAATAGGTAACTTAAACTACTTTTAAGAATATGTAGCCTTAGGGGAAAAAAATAGATGTGTCTAATGATTCATGCACCTTATGTGGGGTATAGAAGAGGAATGAGAGGCTGGGCACGGTGGCTCACGCCTGTAATCCCAGTACTTTGTGAAGCCAAGGCGGGTGGATCATTCGAGGTCAGGAGTTCAAGACCAGCTTGGCCAACATAGTAGACCCCATCTCTACTAAAAATACAAAAATTAGCTGGCATGTTGGCACACCTGTAATCCCAGCTACTTGGGAGGCTGAGGCAGGAGAATTGCTTGAATTCGAGAGGCAGACAGAGTTGACACGTGAGCCCAAGATTGACCACTGGCCCCTCCCTGCCCGGCACACCGGTGAGAACTCTATCTCAAAAACAAAAATCATTTTTTATTTTTAGTTCCAGGAGAGCAGTGGCAGGTTGTACAAGGATATACTTGCATGATGCGAGTTTGAGCTCTTTGTCCCACACCCAGAGAGTGGAACATAGTGCCAACAGGAGGTTTTATAGCCCTTGTCCCCCTCCCCCCTCTCCTCTAGAGTTCCAGTAATCTATTGCTCCCATCTCGTGTCCCCATAGTACCACTAGATAGTAGCTCTCACGTTACCAGTCAGACATGTGGGATATTTGGTTTCGTTCCTGCATGATTCACTTAGGATAAATGTCCTTCCTCACACCACAAAACCCATGTCTTTACAAAGGACATGATTCATTTTTTTTATGACTA